GCAGGCCTCCTTTTGCTCCGGCTTCGAATCATGCTTCGCAACCGGCAAATGTAAATTACACATTGGTATGTGAGTCTTGTTCACCTTATTCGCCGCCCGCTGTGCTGCAGAAAACTGCACGAACAAAAGGAATGAGAAAGGAAATGAGCGATGTGCACCACGACATGCCTCTTCGGGGTAGTAGCGAGTCCATAGAAGATCAACTTCGGTGTCCTCTTTCAGCTCACGGACATCTTCATATCTCAAAGGATTTCGTCGATAGACCGAACGATGGGTGTTTCGCCCTTCGTCGGCGGGCTTCTAGGGTCGGCAACTTGTGGCGGGCGAGCGAACGGAAAGTGAGGGTCACGCGGGAACATGGTTTCTCGCGGCGAAAAAAGACCATCGCATGGTGTTGGTGGAACCTCAACAAATTGCATGCCCGCGATATTATGGCATGGCTCATGCAGCGGGTTGTTGGTCATCGTCTCGGCCCGAGGCGACATGAGGGCGTCGTCCTCGGGGAAAGCGCCGAGTGGTGTGACCTCGTGTTCGATTGGCGCTGGCGGGCCCATTGGCCTAAGCTCGAGCGAGGAGCCTAGATTGAGACTCGCAAAGGCAAACCCTGCCTGCGATCCGAATCGATGGCTGCCGAACCCAGGAGAAGGCGGGGGCTTCATCATAATGCTTTGCGGCTTATCGTTCGAGACATCGTGACCAAAGATTGTAGGCTGATTAATTGATGGAAGTAAGCGATCGAAATCGAAGTGGGCAGGCTTGCCAAAGTCTTGTTTCTCTGTTGCTGGTGAGCAGCAAAAGCTTGCGGGGGCCGAGTACGCCTTGACAGGGTTCGGCCGGTTGTTGCTAGGGTTCGAGAATCTGCGCGCCCTCCTTGGGCTGCCATTACCAGCGACGCCGCCCATTGAGTTCTTCTCTTGCTCGTTGGGAAGAGGAGCGGTTCTGGGAGCGGTCCGCGCCTCCTTTGCTGGACTCTCAATGGCGTCGGCGGAGAGGGTCAGTCGATGCTTAGTTGGACTCTTGCCGGAGCGAGGACGGAATGCGGAACCAGGCGCAGGCTTTCTCGCAGACACCTCCTTCTGGAAATCTTGCAAGCAGTACATGAGCTTCATGTTGGGGCTGATCCACTTGCTCTTCGCCTGAGCGGCATAGTAAGCATCGTTGACACTGAGCTCGGGTTTCTTGTATAGTCCGTAGGCAATGATGAGACTGGCGGAACGACTCGCGCCCTGCTGGCAGTGAATCAGGACCTTCTTGCCCTCCCTCGTCCTCGATTCGATCGTCTCGCAAAGCTGCATGAGGTCTTTCGCGATATCCGTATTGTGGTCCCAAAGCATGTGTATGTACTCAGGCTGCTTCTGGGGAAATCCAACGGCCCGGGGCGTCGTTGGAGTATCCATGGGGCGATTGTCTGAAGGCTGGAACTCAAATGCTGTCGCAAAACTGGCGCTGGTTACCGCGGTATCGGGGATGGGGCTGTCGTCGGCAGCCTCCGTGGGCCCGTCGGTCATCTCGTGGTCCGCTTTGTGTGCAGCGCTGAAGGGATTGATGACCTCACGGGCAACATTGATGACCGTGTCGAACCTGGCTGCCTCATCCGCCGATGGCTCGAGATACAGGAAGACATTGTCGTCATAAATAGCGATGGGTCCGTCAGGGTACCCGGGTGTCTTTTGGTCTTCGTTTTGTTCGATTTCATGGAAGGGCTCGGCATCCATGGCGGCTCGGTTGGCCATTTGAGTTCGAATTGGCGATTCCTCCTCAGTGATGGGTGCCTCAAAGGTCGCGCCAATGCCCGTCCTCGTTGGCCTCAGAAGCTCGGAAAGCCCTGACTCGTTGCGCTCAAGAACCTTGGGGAAACTCATGCCTCCGATTGGTCCTAATGACGCTGATTTGAGTCCCGTCAGCATATGGGGCGATGAGGTCGAATGTTTTAATGCGCGACGTTGCAAGATGGGTGGCAGAGCCGGCGTGCTGGGAACTTCCAGAGTGGTTCTCGCGATGAGATCGGTCGAGTTCGTCTTGAGGCTAAGCTGACTAGGTTTCCTCTTCATTCCGGGTATCGTAGGCTTGATGAAGGACGGCGAGGCAGGTTCGGACGTGACTTGGTTCGTTGTGTTGACGACGCCGGTGTTGATACTGGGTGGCTGAATGGATAGGCCCTTCATGTTTTTGGGGCGACGAGGGGCAGGAGATGTCATGGGTCGGCCTGTGCTCAGAGCACTTAAGCTTTCTGGAATGGTGAGAGTGTTCAGGGGCGGTAGAGCGCCGAAGGATGTTGCGGGGAAGGACGATAGAGGTATGAGGTTGATGGGCGAATCGGGAGAGGAAGACGGCGAGGGGTCTGACAAGGAAGACGAGTCGGTTATGGAGAGAGTCGTCGTCGGCGACGATCCTGCTGATTCGGAGGCTGTGTTGATGTG